ACCAACTTCAATTGCAGATGAAAGCTCTACTCCTTTATAGGTTGGCATATTTGTTACTGATATCACAAATTAATTTTTTTTTCTTTTAAAAGATTTTATTTATTTGACAGAGAGAGACACAGCCAGAGAGGTAACACAAGCAGGGGGAGTGGAAGAGGGAGAAGCAGGCTTCCTGTGGAGCAGGGAGCCTGATGCGGGGCTCAATCCCAGGACCCTGGGATCATGACCTGAGCCGAAGGCAGACGCTTAACCATCTGAGCCACCCAGGCGCCCCATGTCCTTTTATTTCTACCTGAGGGACTACTTTAGCCTTCTTTATAGGGCAGGTGTAACTAACAGCAAATTCCCATAGCTTATATTTATCTCAAAGTATCTTACTTATCTCCTTTACTTTTGAAGGATAGTTGGTTAGATACAGAATTTTTGTTTGGAAATTTTTTTTCTTTTAGCAGTTTAAATGTGTCTTTTCACTGCCTTTTGGCCTATATGGTTTCTTTTGAGAAATCAGTTGTTAATACCATTGAGGATCTCTTATAAGTGATAAGTTGCTTCTCTTGATTCTTAAGATTCTCTTTTTGTCTTTGGCTTTCAGCAGTTTGATTATAGTATGTCTCAGTGTAGATCTTCTTGCTTTTATCCTTGGAGTTCACTGAGCAGCTTGGGTGTATAGATTTAGTCTTTCATTAAATTTGGAATTTTTCAGTCATTATTTTTTCAAGTATTTTTTCTGCTCCTTTTCCTTTTTCCTCTTATTTGGGACTTCCATTATGCATATGTTGTACACTTGATGGTATGTCATGTCTTGTTTTCTTCAACTTTAATGTTTTGTCACAGGCAGAATGGGTTATTCATTTTCCTCACAGTGTTTTTGAGAAATGCCCCCTATCTAGCCCAAGACTAGAGTCCCACAGTGAGAATGCAGGCTGCTTTCTTCAAGACCCTCCCACCCAGCCAGGAAGATGGGTGGAACAAGGGCTAGTAAAAACACCACACATCTTTCCTTTTGTTTTTAAGTTGCCTTTTTCTTGATTCTGTGTTTACTTGGTTGTTGTGAACATTTAACTGTTTTCCAGATTTTTGAAAAAGTTTATTCTGATCCATTTTGCTTTGCTTTTTGGTGTTTCTGTGGAGCAATCTACTCTTCCATTTTTGCTGACATCACTGCCTTTAATTATACTTTGGGAAAGTTGCATTTCACTGATTTATATGGAGTAGTATAAGCTTAGTTTTGCTCTGAAGTGAAGCGGTATATAAAATATCCTATCATTATCAATTATATAAAACTGAGTATTTATTGGAGTTGTGTTTCTCATATATTCAGAAATAGTTTATATTTTTGTAATCTGTTTTTTAACTGCTTTATTGACATGTAATTCACATACCATACAGTTTATAAAGTGTGTAATTATATTATATTCAAAGGTTGTACAACCATCAGCACAATTTAATTTTAGAACATTTTCACCACCTTTAAAGAAATCCTGTACTTATTAGCCTTCAGTTCCTTTTATTCCCTGTTCCCTTCACTCCCAGCCCTACACAACTACTAACCTACTTTCTATCTCCATACATTTGCCTACTCTGGCTATTTCATATAAGTGGAATTATATATATAATGTGGTCTTTTATGTCTGGCTTCTTTTCCCTAGCATAGTGTTCTCAAGGTTCATCCATCTATTTATCGTGTTATCAGTACTTCATTTCTTTTTATTGCCAAATAATAGTTCATTTTATGGATGTATACCACATTTTGTTTACCATTCATCACTTGAGGGACATTTGGGTTGTTAACCATTTTTTGGCTATCATAAGCAATGCTGACATGTACGTGTGCGTGTGCAAGTTTTTGTGTGGACATGTGTTTTTGTATTTTAGTTTTAATTCTAGCTTATTCTTTGAAAAGAATAGCATCTAATTTGAGAGGAATTTCTTGAAAAGTATTTAATTCAGTGGAATTATATCTTTGAGCTACCTTGTGTCAAATAACCTAACTCAAAATGAATACAGAGATTCGTGCTCAAGTTATCTATTTTAAGACAATTATGTATGTGAGTTATTTAGGCTTATTCTTAGTTATCATTCTAACTGAATTGCTTTGTATATTGCATATGCAACTGCTATCATGTCTAATGTCTAATGCCATCTTTAGGCAACATAAGAGAAATCTCTTCACATGGGAGAGTATATTATCTTCCTCATCCCATTATATATTGTGTGAGGCAAATGAGTTAAAACTTCTGGGTTTTGTTTTTGATTGTTTCTTTTGCCCTGTGAACCAGGACAGTACTCTGCCACCATGGAAGTTAATTTGATTTTAGTAAAGTAAAATTTTCCAAATAGAAAATTTTCAGATTAATGGGGCTAGCAGGTGGG